TGCTGCTTGGCCTGCTGTGTTCATCCAGCCCTGCACCTTGTTGTCTCAGACCTTCATTTATGTTTTGTTACCTCCAGACTTGATTCTTCTAACACACTCGTGGTGGCTTTTACATCCTGCAACCTCTGTGAACATGATTTCATCCAAAACACTGCTAACATGCACCTTGATGTCACTCATCCATCAACCTGGAGTTTACTGATCTGTACTAATACCCTGTTAAATAATGGTTGAATTTAAATTCTCATCCTTGTTTTTAAAAGCCTCCACAGCACCATCTGTGCTTTGGGCACTTCAATCAGTTTATGTATTAAAAACATTTTACTGAAGCGGTCTTGTCAGTGAGATGGACAAAAGGACATGGAAGTCTGTTTGTGAGCTCAACTTGATTTGATTAACAAAATATTCCTTAATAAAAACACCCTGTGAACATTTCCCAGATCCCCACAATATTTACTCGATCTAGCGAGATTTCTCTGAGAAATAATATTACCCACAATGATGTATGTGTTTGAGCTGGTTTGTTGGAATCTCCAACCACTCTGATGTAGGATTGGCGCTCTTCCACAAAAGGGGTCTTGCAGGTCAGGGTGGATCTTCTCCTGGGTCTCCCTGTGTTGCTGCATGATCTTCCGCTATGAGACTTCCCTGTGAGTCTTTGCTGAGTCTTCAGTGATGTCTTCACGTAATCTTCACCGAGGGAGTGGTGTCCAAGTGTGTGTTCTTATGCTCCTTTGCACCATATCTTCTGAAATGTTATGTGGCTTTTGGCCAATGGGGTCATCTGTTGAGTTCAAATTGTCCAATGGGGTCCAGCCAACACTGTTCACTGTTGCCATGCCAGGAGGTGTAAAGTGTATGTCCTCACACATTCAAGATACCAAAATGTCTAATTGTAGGGGCGACCTTTACCTGGCCATGTAAGGTGGCTTGTACCTGAACACAGTAAGCGGTCCATGCCTGCTTACAAGATGGCAGACAGAAGCTAAGCAAAACTAAGCATTCTGCTCACACAGTGAAATACAATGATACCTTTGAACAGATAAATGACCAATTCCAGCTTTATTAATGAAAGGATGATTGTCCCAGTAAATGAACAATGTCAGGTGCTAGATTAAGTCCTCAAGCAGCTGCAAGGATGACAGCTAAAGGTATTTTGCAGTAAATAGTTGCCTCTTTGAAGCTACCAGCAATATTAAATAGTTTCCAGCTAAAAATGCTCTAATCATAGAAATTGGTTTCAATACACAACCAGGATATAATACAAGCCTTAAAGAAAACATTTAAGCTTAGATGTAAAGATTAACCAGCCTTAAAAGACTTCTGTTATGCCCTGAACAAGACAGATTGATTACAACCCATAAATTACAAAATGCTGACAGTAGTAGTTGTATAACATTACACTTATAATTAACTTTATAACAGAAGTTAACCTTATAACCAAGTCAAAACTAATTGTCTTTTTATTTTTATATTATGTTATTGGGACAGTGGGAAAATAAAAGGAGTGACCAAATGTAATAAAAGACAGCACCAAAACACAATGGGTAATAGAATTTGAGCTGTCTTTACAGATAAACAAGCCTGAGAAAGTCCCGAAGGAATATAGCCATTAAACCTTTGGAATGTGAATGAATAGGATGCATAGGAAGATCCCAAGGCCTAGCGATTATATGTCTAGCTAATACCTAAGATCGTGGGAACCTGGGGCTGTCCATGGAAGTGCCCATCACTGATTAGGTGTCCCACAGGATTGAGTATTTGAGTTAAGGGGGAAGGATGATGGCTACATTGTATTTGATTACTGTTACACAAAATGTATAAAAATGCTGTAGTTCTTTGTAAAAGCAGAGGGTGTGTCTGATCTATCTTCCGGAGCCAGATTCGGGGAAGATCCTTTGGCCCTCTCCCTGCACAAACAGGTTTCTGCTTGAATAATCGTCTTCCACTTGCCTGAATCCTGCCTGCATCCTGACTCTTTGTCCCAGGTCGGGAAAAACGCTCCCACACTAATCAACACTTCTCCAATTTTAACTGGTTTCCTTTGAACATTTGTAAACTCTTTGATCTGGTTTTCCACTGTTCTCTGTAGTCAATAGCTGCTGGCTGCTATTTAATTTAGTTTTGCCAATTTCCTGTCAGGCATGATTTCTTCAACTGTAGGTCAATTTAGAATGTTTAATTTGACCACAATAGCCTCAGCCTTTCGTCTTCTAACTCTACAATCCTTGGAGATAGTTGCACTCCTTTAATTCTGGTCCCTTGTAGTTTAATTGCTCCAGAATTTGTGGCTCTGCCTTCAGTCATCTTGGTGTTATGCTCGGGAATTCCTTTCCTAATCTTCAAACCTTTAACTTACTTTCCCCTTTTAACACATTCCTTAAAACCTATCTTTATGGCCAAGTTGTTGGTTTAGTGTTCTAGTATCTCCTTACAAGGCCCTGGTTGTTGTATTTTGTTTTATAATGTCTCTGTGAAGTGATTTGGGATGTTTTATTATGTTACAGTTCATTTAGAAAGACAAAGGGTTGGCCTTGGAGCAATTTCCACAACAGGGATCACAATTCACTAAAAGTACATAATTGGCTGAAAAGTGCTAATGGGCATCTCGAGGCTATGAGAGGCACTATATAAATGCAAGTCTTTTCATCTTCTCATAACTATAAAAGTGAATACTGATAAAATTCATAATATTTCTTCCAGTGCATAAGCTCACTATTTTACTTATTTTTTAAAGGTCTGTTCTCTCATTTTGGATTGAAATAATATCAACAATCCAATCATAATCTACTTAATTCTTACCTAAAATGATCCATTTACTCTTTACTGCAGGAAGTGCAACAAAGTGGTAAAGTACATCTTGCAGTCTTGTTATCATTTGACAAGGGTTATGTCTTCCATCTTCAGGCAGGGGTGCCTCCGGCACCAGTGAAACCAAAGGCACATCCCCATTGTCCAAAGAGGCTTTAGAAAAAAAAAGTAATGAACTATTTTAAAGAAATGCACTTATATCAAAATATAGCTGATACGTTTAAATCATGGAAATGGTCCACAATTTTCTATCTCAAAATAAATAGGTCTACTAAATATGGTTTCAAATAAACACTGAGTATTCAAACATATTTAGTTGAGCATCAAATGAACATTGGTGAAAATTCATACTGGTGTTCTGAGCTGCACCTTTAAGATGGCCCAGGCTTAAGACTTGGTTCTAATGCTGTAGCATTGCTTCATCCAAGAGGCCAGTGAACGTACCCTAATAACTTAACAAAGGTTATTTGTAAAGTGACAATCATCTGCCAAGTATTATTTTGCTGAGATGTTTCCAAGAACTTATTAATTAATTACGATGCTGCAATGGAGGAAAGCAGCAAACTCGCCGATTGTTCTGGTCATGATGTCTCCCTCGATAAACAGTGCCAAAAAACAACTAGGTTAACTGACCTATCTGTGGGACATCTACGCTACAGAATGGTTACTGGATAGTCACTGCATACCAAGTTCTTCACTGACTGTAGCACATTAGAGGTTTTTAATGTGGTAAGATGTTGTAGTAATGTAATACTTATATAGAAACATAAAAGCAAGAGGTTATCCAATCCGGAGAGCCTCTTTGGACATTCTAGATCATGGCTGATCCTTTATTTCAGTTCCACAGTCCTGCGCTATTCCCATATCTGTGATGTCATTAGTGTTCAGAAATCTACTGATCTCTGTTTTGAAAATACTCAATTACCGACCTATGCAGCCCTCTGAGGTAGAAAATTCTAAAGATTCACTACTCTCTGAGTAAAGAAGTTCATTCTCATCTCAATCCTAAATGCTTGTCCCTTTTTCTGACACTGTGCCCCTTTGCTCTACAGCTCCACAGTCAGGGTGAACATCTTTTCTGTAACCACCCTTTAGCCGTTTAAAAATTTTGTAAGTTTTGATAAGATCACCTTGAATTCTTGTAAACTTTACAGAATTCAAGCTCAGTTTCCTCAATCTCTCCTCATCGGGCAGTCCTACCATCCTAGGAATAAGTCTGCTGGATTTCTTCTGCTTTACCTCTGTAGCAAATATATCTTTTTCTTAGGAAAGGGGACCAAATCTGCACATAACTCTCCAGGTGCAGACTCAAATAGGTTCAATAAAGTTGAAACAAAACATACTTAAGTACTCAAATTGTCTTATGATAAAGACACATGCTATTTGTCTTTGTCACTACTTGTGGTACGTGCAAGTAAGCTTTCAGTATACACAAGGATAGCCAGATATTTTTGACATCAACACTTCCCAATTTCTCATCATTTAAAAGAATTTTCTGCACCTCTGTTCCTCCTATCTAAATGGGTAACTTCACATTTATCTACATTGTATTTCATCTGCCAAGTTTTTGCCCACTCACAGCCTATCCAAATTCCTCTTGAAGCCTCTTTGCCTCCTTATGGTTCAAATTTCCACCTGGTTTTGTGTTGTCCACAAATTTGGAAAATTAAGTTTTAATTTTAACTTAGCTTAATTCGGTCCCCATATCTATCATTTCACAGTGCTTTGTATAATTTAATCACATGCATGTAATGAAAATTAGAGTCTTTTTATACATTAACCTCCAGGAAGAAAGGAAACACCTGCTTCTTCCTCAACGGACAGAAGAGGAATATCATCATCCAAGTACTGAAGTATTCCACCAATCACCAATAAATCCTGGTCTGTGACTAGAAGTGATTGATCACACTCTCCTGTATTCTGGGTCGTGTTGCTATCTTTCTTCTTACACATATGTTGGCAGCTGAAACAGAAGGTTAAACATGAAATGTACCATCAGAACTCAGGGTTTTCAATTCTGACACTTGTACTACCAGTCCAAATGGATTTCTAAGTTAACACTACACAAAATAACACTGAAGATCATGGAATAGGATGGAGAGCGTCAGCTTGGAAAAAACATTTAACGATGAAAAACAACAAGGCATAGTAAATGGCTATTTTTCAGACGAGAGGATGATGAACAGTTGGGTTCCCCACAGCCAGTGTTAGTTTTTCCTGCTTTTATTCTTCATTTCAAATACTCATCCAATTCCATTTCAAATAACATTTTGCTCTTTGTATGGATAGCTATTTGTAATGAAACATTTGTGGTAATACCTATCTCTAGAGGGAACCAGCAGTTTAAAAACATAGGGCAGGATTTTCCATGTCAGTTGGGCTCTCATAACACAATGGTGTACCATAAGATTTCTTCTACTTTCTAATAACAAACCATTGTATGCTACCTCCTTGGTAAGAACTTTATGAATCAGTGGTAATAAATATTTTACTACTCAATCTCTCAAAACTTTCCAAATTTTGAAAACTTTGAATAGAACATTGCTCAACTATGAGTTTAAAAAAAAACTTCAAAATTCTTCTTCCATATCAACAGTTTTTTTTAAAATTCCTGGTATCATTGAGTAAATGCTTGTACTTTTAGTGGCTCTAATACCTATTTTGTAATGAGTGCTCAGATCCATACACTACATTCCAACTTGGCCTATACTTGCATAAGTATGACGTGATTTTCTTGTTTATGGGCTTTTAACCTGTATTCTATGCAGATTAAGCCATCTCTACATCTCTGCTCCCTCATTATCTGCAGATTTTCAAATGAAATTTTTATTATGAACTATAGTTTGAGGCAGATGATATTGAATTGGCAGTTTATTTTCAATCGCATGATTTTAATTTCAATTGACTTCATTTGAAATGAAAATTTGGTGGGTTGCGTAATAGGTGGTTGATTTGGTATTGTTTGCTATATACTGATGTTCAAAATCAAAATTACTCCCTTGATGTTTAAGATATGCTTCTTTTCACTGTTTTTCCTCAAAATTTACAGTTTCACATTTGTCTGTATTGAACTTCATCTGGCATCTAATTGCCCAATTTGCTAAACAGGTCTTTCTCCTGCAGAACCTTGAAGTCTCCCTTAGTTTTCCCTGCTGTTGAATTTAGTACGATCAGGATCCTCAAGATAATTCTCTTTTATCTATGTTCATCTATGAATGGAAAAGATAGATCCTTGGCACTGCATCTTAAAGCTCTTGAGAGGGTGCAAAGAAAACTTACGATAAATTATACCAGGAAGAAGGATGTTAGTTATGTTAAAAAACCTGAGATTCCTGTACCTGAACCGAAAATGCTGAACAGCAATTTAATGGAGATGTTTAAAATCCTAGAAAATTTTTCATTGTGTAGGCTAGCGAGGGGGTGTGGGGGGGTTGGAGATCAAAGCAGTGGGGAGTAGGGGACAGGATATAGGTAAGAAATGAGAGGAGAAATCTGGAGACAATCCTCTAATATGCCCAGCAGGTTCAGGTCCAGTCCTGACAGGCTTAAAACATGCCTCTTCTGCCAGCTGAGAGAAAAGCTGCTGAGAAGTTGAAATGAGCCACCTTTCCAATTGGCTGTTTATAACATTGCAGTGGGTCAGGGTTCATATTTGGGGGAGGGTTTCAGGTGCTGGGAATGCTTCCCATGGCATCATACCTAGTTTACACATCCTAACCAGCTCCTGGTGAGAGTAAAACGTTCCCCATAGATCTGTTTTTCTCTTCACATTTATCTATAATTAATGGCCGAATGAAGGCCACCTAATTGCCCAAACTAACAATGATGAACTAAAGGTTAAGTTATTTTTGCACCTCTGTGACAAATTAATGAAAACTTATGGTAGGATTAAGGCAACTTCCATATTTAATATCCTATGTTTGGAAAGATCACAGGCAGTCAAATGAGCTTATCATCAGAACTGAATCATGTAATAATTTAATTCTTATGAATTGGGATCCTATGGATTGCTCCAACTTTATTGAATTGGGAAATATGAAATATTCAAAGGCAAATTTTACAATCCTAATGTGGTATGGAGTCCAATGTGCTGTTGCATGCAGTGTTGTAACAATGATTATTTTCTGACCTTCTTTTCATAACCTTGGTGGTTGTTTTGCACTTCGGCAAAGGGCCTAAGACCAAAGTTTCTCAATTTAACAAAAATTAGATCGGGAAGAATGATAACTACAACGATGGACAGATCACTTGAAGAGGCAACTAACTTAAGTGTACGGATAGAAGATCTACCATGATCTCAATAAATGGGAGAATAGGCTGAAAGGGCAAAGGCTTTACTCCATATTTTATATTTTTCTGGGTTACAAATAATGCTTGTAAAAGTAGAGCAAAGTAAATTTTTGATGTATTGTGAAAGACATATTTGGCCAAATAACTGATACTGCAATCAAGAGCTTGAGGAAAACTGTTAACAGGTATTGCTGTATACAGTTTGATCTTATTTATTTCCAACTTCAAAGATCTGTACATGAATGACGAATCTGTCAAAGTATTAAACATTTATACAAGAATCATACAAGTGGGGAACAAAAAGCAATTCTTCAGTCACAAACAAAGAATGCTTCTGCAGCTTCAAATTAAAAATGACATATTGTTCGATTAAATTTCACATCAAGTTGGACAATCTCAGCTAGTAGGTTTACGTACAGCAAGTCCCTATATTTATTATTAATTCTTTGTGCAAATTGTCATGCTGTTCACCAGTTATACAGTGGGGCACTGGAGGTTTTTATATCATTGTTACTCCACAAGTATTTCCTTTGAAAGGCTTCAAATTTAATGGAAAGAGTTAAAAAGAACTATAGCAGAAATAAATAAACTTGATGTTTCATGTTGGAAATCTACTGAAAGACCTTTACATTAACTTAGACACATGCCTAAGGGAGAAATGGTACTCAATCACTGATATCATTTTTATTTTAGAAAACAAGATAGTGCAGGACAACAGCAAATTGAAATAGCAGAAAAGTAGATGGGAAGACCAAGCAGTGAAAAATCAGGAAAGACAATGATAATCAAAAAGCAGTGACCAAGCAACACCAAAGCTGTAATTTAAATTAAAATACCGTAGTTTACAGTAAATAAATGGACCATTGAAGCTTCATAGAATCCTTCCAAAAAAATGGGAGCACCTTATAAGCAGAGTGTAAATTATGTTAAGATACGCAACGAAGACGGTTGTAAATACTCAGACTTGTTTCCCTTGGGAGGCATGAAAAATCTGTACACCATCGAAGAGCGGAAATAGCAAATCCAAACACTACACCTTTGTTAGAGGAAGAATAGTTTGCATATGTTATTTGAAAAATCCCAGGTGGTGTTCATAAGCTTTCGAATAGACATTTGTACAGAAAGAAAATAAATTACTTTCTGCCCTGTTATGATTTCACCCCAGGTTAAAACTGGACAAGTCAGTTTCCAGAGCTTGAAATAGCAGGAAAGTAGATGGGAAAAAAAAATCAAGCATTGAAAAAAAAACTTTCCAGAGTTTCCAGACCTGGCTTGATAGACCATGGACTGAATGTTCCCATATTTTGGCTGTGTTATTTTCATTGGGCTTTCTGCAAGTACTATCAAGTTTTCTCATGTTATCATCCCTAATTTACCTTATTAGCTGCCTACCACTCTCCCATGGTACCCCTCTTGTCTGATGCTAGGATGATTCTCCTGATTATTGTAGTCAAAAACACTCATCACTGCTAGGATATTGTCTGATCCCTGGTGCTGGCACTAATGTGCACCCAGTCACGCTCTGTCAATCTGGAGTTGCCCTGAAAGGTTCATGGCATTTGCCTCTGATATGGCAGATAAAGGGAAATTGGCACTTCATTTTCAGGACAGCAACCTGGAGTTTCTGCTGGATTGGGTTATGCAGATAAGGTGAGCACATCCAGTGTGCAGGACTCCATGATGAAAGGTTGGACAGTAAGCCTCAGAGGGTGGCTTTGACTGATGGAGAACAAAGGCAAAAGGCATAGAAAAGCTGAATATTGCTCTTGGGAAGGTAAGTCAGGTAGTGTGAATGTATTGAAACCATAGAATTAGTAAAGAACAAGGAACCTACTGTTCCTTCCAAAGTCTGCTGTAATGCTCGTCCATCTGTATAAGAAAACACCAAACAACAAACACAGAAGTCATTATAGCTGCGGTATCTGACTTCTAGTGTTAACCCCTCCACTTCAAATACAGATAAGCTCCAAGGTTTTAGGTCAAAACTGGGCCCTTCGTAAGAGACAGTGCTGAGGATTCATTGAGATGTTTCATGAGCACAGTCAGTGGCACACGCAGCAGTCAAAATGTACAGCCTCACATTCAAACATCTCAAGGGGAGTTTGAATTCTACTTCTCCCTCAACAAATCTGGAAGACTATGACTAGGTAAGTGATGCATTTAGTTCACTGTCTTTTGATTCATCATAAAAGCTGACATTAAAAGAAATAATATGCAAAGCTATGGATTTTTAGCACAATGAGGTTCAAGTTTGGAGAGGTGTCCTTGTAGGTCATGGCTAACTGACATGACTATGCGCTGATCTCTGACTGTGCTATTGCTGTACTTGCATCATTTGCAACAACATACCTCTGCAAGCTAGCATTTTCAGCACTGGCATACATGAAAAGCACTAGAAGGGAGCTCTAGTCAGTGGAGCATTTGTGGGTGGCCCTCTCAAAGATTCCCGCCCAATCAAAAGGCTCTGCACACACCAATAGGCCCCAGATTTCCAAGTAAATTGCAATGTATTCTATATTGTATTTTGCTCTGATTCATTGTTTATGAATAGTTCGAAATAGTTGAATTGAGCAGATTATGAAAATGTGTCTGTGCTTGTAGTCAAAGTTTGCGTATTTTTGCAGGTGGATTTGAAACATTAATGGTTTTGATCCTTCTTTAGCTTGTTGAGTG